CAGCAGCCTGACGCACTTTGGCCTTGGCCATGGCTTCAGCCTGCTCCAGCGGAGCCGCCACTGTGGATGCCGAACTGATTCCTGCACATGAAGACGGCGCATATATATATTTATATATATACAGTGCTAGTGCATTGGAACCATCGTATTTTGCTAATGTGTGTCCTAGCCTCGTTCTACCTTGGCTTTCTTCAGCTTGTTCTGCAAACTGATCGTGGATGCCGGATTGTTAGCTGCCTGCCTCCCAAATCTAGCATTATTTGTTGGGTGCATTGAATGTAAAATGAAACAAGATGCCAAGTAAATACACTTGCAATGTCCAATGCAGCCTGGATTTTTCCTTCGCTTTCTGTAAAGCATTGTCCAGCGCCGACTCCATGCTGCCGGGAGTGGGCCCACCTCCCCACCTGCCCCCTGGGCAGCATCCTCATGTGCAGCCCTGGTAGCACGGGCTGCTGCCCTCTCCAAAGCTTTAGACACGGCGTCTGACTTCGGTTCACCCTGCTTCTTGCCCATGGTGGTTGTAGAGGGTTCCCAGCCAGCCCAACTTACCTTTGAGCCACAATGCCCTCCAAACCTTGTATCAGTCTTGCCAAAACCCAGTCCAATTCGAAGAGTGCAATCATGTCCAACATTGATGCAAAACAATGAAGTACACACAAAAAATATGAAAAAATATGAGTTTGAGGTGGTTTTTGGGGTCCTGAGGTTCACGCTGAGAAATGTCGGTTCACGGTGATTCACGGCTGTTTCACGCTGTTTCACGGTTCATTCACGCATCAGTTTTTTTTCATTTCAGCCCGTACTAGCTTTGCATAGATTATATCAATGCTGCAACGTCCTAATTGGCATAGTGCCAGCTCCAGCCCCTACAAAGACTAGATTGGTCACATGATTAGGCTTTAAAAGTCCAATCCATCTTCAAAAGTTGGCACGAAGCGACCCACACGTCGTTCCCTCTCCAAGAACTCCTTGATGGGCCTCAAAGAGGCATGCCGCCACTGATATGGTGCCTGGCCAAGTACGCTCTGCTCTCGTATGAATTTTAGACGACAGACTGGGAGACACCACAGGTATATTTATAACATGTCTGCCTTGATCCTCAGATCATGCTGCTGGTCGACCATGTTGGAAAACTTCTCTCGAAGAGGATTCTGCTCCTTCCGCATAGCAGCCTGGGCCACTGTAGTCCTACATATGTTTAATGTATCTAGACGCCTGAGGTGTGTACCAAGTATTTCTTGTGTAGCTTTGCCAGTCGTTGTCCGTATCGCTTCGGGTACACTTGGGATTGTTTTAATCCTTTCCCACCTCGCCTTGGCACGCAACGCTTGCACGATTTGTTTTACAAACCAGGATCAGACATGTACAAACCTGCTAATTTCAGATTTCCATATCATATTTTGCTAAGTCCCCAACACACACAGTTTGCCAGTTTTCGATACGCTCTTGATCACAATGGGCATACCAGCTTTCTCTGCCTTTTTTTTGTTCTTTGCCAGTTTGGCCCGTGTCCTGGCAGTGACCTTCTTCTTGACCTGCTCCATGTATGGCCTTGACCAGGAAGACTGGAAGCTAGAATAAATTCTTCCCGCAAACAGTGCTCAGATGTACTCAGTATCTGGGTACCCCACCAGGAACCAAACAGCTTTGTTGGCTTCAAAGTCTTTGCTCCATAGACGCCCATGGAACTCAGGTGCACTAATTATATGTATACACATATCCAAGAAATTGGTAAACTTGCACTTTGACAACCCTTGCATATATATTAATTAGTTCAGACAACTGAGAATCGTACAAGCTGGTATACTGCCACAAATCACCCAAAACTTTCTGGATGTACGTGATATAAGGGAAGCAAGTCATGTTGGAACTGACTGGCTGCTCACACGCCCAAAATGCTCCACGAACCGAGGCCAGGAGCAGCAGAAGAACCATCCGGGTTGTAATCCTGAGCGGTCCACAATTTGAAGAAGTTGCTACCATTTCCCTATATAAAAATTTAGCCAAGAATATGGTGCAAATCAGTTCCAAAACTACCAATAATGACAGCGCAAAGTCTCGTGTTGGCCACCCGAACGTACTCCCTCTGAGAAGGATTTCCCAGTGGACGATCCGCTGATCGGCCAGACGTCGGTCGATTCAAAAAAACGAACGACGAGCACGGAGGACCAGCCGAGATGAACGCATCCTCCTGGAGGCGGAGGGTGAGCCAAACTGCTCGGAAGAACCCGGGCCTCAGGTCGGTCGTTTGCAGAGATCGATCGATTTAATTATATGTCTAGACACTAAGACTTAAACGTTGTGGTAATATCACCTTCATCGCCCTGAACGGACACATCATAGGCCACCCTCAAGTGCGGAGCAGGTCAACCGCATGCATGCATGATGTTATATGAGCACGACTGAGCCCTGAACATTTTCATTCCTTTCTCACCTCACATGTTGAGGCCATAGTCAGACTAGCTACAAACAGCACAGACCGTGGAGATTATAGTGCCCAAGACCCTGGCAAAATCCGTTCTTCACTGATTGCATGCCAGCAAATAGGTCCAATCCCATGAGGTCCTGAGTTTTCATTTACTATTCAGATTTATAAAATTTAGTTGTTTAATGTCGGATAGCTGGGGTGCTTGCTCGGACAGAACCAGGATCGCTGACGCTGCAGATGTAGTCCACCATATGGATCCTCCAATATAAAAAACGCATCACACCTAGCCGGATCTGAGATATGTGATATCTAGCGCATGCACCACCTTTCAGGGGGAACGTTCAAGCTGAGTTGCAGCAAAGCCGGTGCTCCAAGCATGATGAGAAGCGAGGCCTCCCTCCGGGTCAAAGCAATGCCCATCTTGCTAGGCATCCTGAGATCCTGGTCAACCCTGTGTTTATTTCGGGTTGTCTCAGCCTGATGTGTGGTCACGAAACGGCTGCGCAAACAAAGGTGTTCATGTTAACTTCCAAGTGCCACAATTTGCATATGCTTTGTCTATTGGCTGCAGTTGCACATATCTTTTTGAAGAGCGCACCCCAATTGCAGCTCAAACTGTCCATATCTGTCCATTAAATTGGAACTAGAGTCACTAGATCTAGAGATCTAGATCGATCGGATCGATCTGGTTGCAAAAACTCCAAGGCCCTTTGCAGTGTACTAACAATAGTTCTGCGTGCACGCACAGGCGGTTGCATTGCTTATCTTCATGGCTATGTGTAGACTTGGATGTGCCTTGGCTGAGCCTCAGACCGGCTGCTCATCATGAGATCACGAATCAGCTGGGATGGTTTTCTCCCAGCCAGCAACTAGCTTTGCTAGTTTGAACCTCAATTGGCAGGTCAACCACTAGCTTAGGGCTAGAATGGTCAATCGGTTTCATTGATGTGATATATGGGACCTATATATTGCATATATAAATTATATACAGGAGAAAACGATTGAATGCACAATCATCGGTCTATAGGCACCCAACGCTGACTTGGCTCCCTGGTACTTTTGCCATCCCAGAGATACACCGTGTTGCTTGTTGACCTGGCCGGACTCAACCCAGTGCTGCGTCTGAACTATAACAGGTTTTGGACACCTTGAAGAGGGCCCCCATATTCGCATTCACTTGGTCCACCACTTCCTGGAGTTAATAGTCGTGGACTGATGCAATGCAGGTTTGAATCGATCAACCGGGCTCCTGCTGCACAGGGTAGACATAATAGCTTCGTGTCACCAGCCTCATGCACACAATCGATAATATATATTATTATAGAAAAACATCTTGAGAAATACAATATCATGAGGCGCAGGCAGCACTTGGATTGAAGCAAGTTTGCCAGCCACAGGATCCGAAAGACATTCAGGCGGAGTAAGCGTCAAAGACCTGAGGAATAAGCAAATGCCCACGACCCCCTATCATGAAGAACTAAGCCGAAAACTTTTGGCCAGCACTCAGGCTAAAGGTTTGCCCGATGATCTTGTCTTCCTCCAAAATCTGCACGAACTCTTTGCTGGCCTTGTCCTCAGCTAATTGATTAAATTATTGGATTAGTGCTGATGTTGTAAAATCGATCTGATATCACCAACTGTTGTTTTGCCCAAGTTTCCACAATGTCTTCAAGCTTTAGCTTCTGTTCCGGATCATTCCTCGACTTGTAGTATTTCTTCTGGCGCTGCGACTTTGTGTGACCCTTCTCTTCATCCCTTTCTTCCTCTTCTTCCTTGGCCTTTTTCTCTGACTCTGACTCTTGCGCAGCAAACTCTTCCTCCAAATTTCTGCGAGCAGGGTCCTTCAAAGCAGCTCTGGACTTTGCGCGTTTCAACCCCTGTTGAATTTGCTTTGGAGATTTCCATGGACTCCCTGCTTTCCTCTTCTTGGAAGGTTCTGCGCCAGGCTCTTCTTTCGAGTTGGCCTCCTTCTTCTTCTTCTTCTTCTTCTGTGCTTCCTCCTCATCACCCTTCTTTGCCTTTGCATCCTCTGCCAGCTCCTGTGCCTTCTCTACCTTGATCATCTTGGTTTGCTCCTTCTTGGCGCTCTTCTTCTTGTTCTCTTCAATGTGAGAGTCATTTGGTTCCTGTTTCTTTTGCTTCTTTGGCTTCTCATTCTTGTTTGCGTCCTTTTTCTCATGGTTCTTTGCAATCAGCTTGTTCTCCTCAGCAGTTGTTTTCTGTCTTTTCGAATCAGGTTCTTTTGCGCTCTCATCATCCTCTGCTTGCCCCTTTTTGTTTCCCTTTCCTCTTCCTTTTCCTCTTCCTCTACCTCGACCTCTACCCTTCTGGTTGCTTTTCTCTTCGTCTGACTCCTGCTGCTCTCTCAGAAATTTGTCCTCGTCCTCAATCTCCTCTGCCTCTTCTTTTCTAGCTTTGATGATCTTTCTTTGGGCCTGCCACATCAACAACTAATATTCAATTAATATGTGTAGTCGTTCACTGTCAAGATCGATCGAGATTCAAGATGGCCACTTTACTATATTAAATGATCTACAGATAGATCAATGAATAGGTCCAGCCCAAAATTTTATTCCCTGGCCTTGATGATGTCAGAATCAGAGTTGGTGCGTCTCAGCATAGCTTCGACCTGCCCCTCCACCTTAGCAGCTAGACCTGGGGGATGTAGAGGCTCCTCCACCAAAGGCTTCCGGTCCTGCACCAACGATACAATAATGATACTATAATCTACCCATCTGTATGATGTTTCGCAGTATTTTGCATAATGTCAATATATATCATTTCCATTATAAATTATGATCAGAAATGCCAAACTCATGAACGTCCTGAAAGCTTCCTTTCATTTTGCTTGCACCTTCATCATCGCTAAGAATTTCCACTGCAAATTCTTCCTCAGTCTTTACTTTCTTCGCCTTTGCCTCGGCCTTTACAGGATCGATCTTGGGCTCAACACCTGCAGCCTCAGGATCCAAGCCCTCTTCTTTCGGACTCTCCGCTGGCATAGCTGCTTCCTGTTCCAGATGCGTAGCCTTTTTCAACTGTCCCTTGGAATCTTCCTCTTCCCCCTTCTCACCCTTGACCATGTTCTTTGGCGTATGTCTCACCAACTGCGAGTCCTCACGACTGTCCAGCCTCCAAAATTCCATCAGCTGTGTCTCAGCCTCATCAGGAGGGACCTTTGCCTTGTCTTCCTTTACTTCCCTCATCTCTTCCTCCTTCTCTTCCTTTACTTCCCGCTTCTCTTCCTCTAGTACCTCCTTCTCTTCCTCTACTTCCTTCTCTTCCTTTACTTCCCGCTTCTCTTCCTCTAGTACCCCCTTCTCTTCCTTTGCTTCCTTCTCTTCCTTCGAGTTATCTTCCTCCTTGGCCGTATTGCGCAACTTCTCATCCTCTTCCTCACCTTTGCTTTCCTGGTCTGCTTTGCTCTTTTGTTCCTCCTTTTCTTCTCCCTCCTTGCGCTCCTCTTCTGGCTCCTCGCGTTGGTCCTCTTTGTCCTCTTCGGGTTCTTCTTCTTCTGGATCCTCGTATGGGTCCTTTTCTTCCTCTTCGGCTTCTGGTTCTTCTTCCTCTTCTGGATCCTCCTGTAGGTCCTCTTCTTCCTCTTCGGCTTCTGGTTCTTCTTGATATTCTTGCTCCGCTTCTTCTGCGCCTGGTTGGTTTGATCAATGTCAACCCCGTCCCAAGTACCTTACAACGATACGATATATATACGATATATATGTATAGCGTTGATCGAACTTTGACACCTCCATGGTCATCACCACTTGGCGGATCACTAGCTGCTTCATCATGCTGTTCAGGAGGCATCTCATCAAATACCTAGCGGATGATCAGCAGCCCTGAAAAAAATATATCGAAACTTCGAAGGGTTTAAGGGTCATACCTGGGACGCACCACGACCACGGGAAGGGTGCTTCTTGCCAGCAGCCGTTAGGAGCCCAGCATCCTGACAGGTCCACTCATGTAGATTTCGGTTTGGATTCGATTTATATAAACGTAATGTGCATGCATAACATAACCTGTGTCCTGAAGCCGCTTCCGGATGATCGACTTCAATGCTGCCATATTTGGTCTGCCTGCCCTGGAATGTGACCAATGTCAATACGATTGATTCTTCTAGAAATGTTTTGAGATAGCACTTGCAAGAGAGATTAGATTGAGGTTGTGACCTGGACTCTTTGTTGGCTTGGAAGCGAACCATAATGTAGCTGACAAAGCTTCTAATGGTCGCACTCTCTTGCTCAGCCCAACCCTCAGGGGTGTGCAAGCTCACTTTGCAATAATGGAATTTGGGCGCTGAGAACTGAGCCCTGTGCCAAGTGCTCCTGCTTCCCTCGGAGGTGTGGGTTCAAACTGAACTTGGCGGAAGTCCAACAAAGGATCTCCTGGGGAAATTGCAGGTAGGTGCATATTAATTCACTTTCGGCAGCAGTATACGATAACTGGTAATGTCTGTCCGTCAGTTCTGAATCCACGGGAAGCTGTTCTGCAAACGTAGCGAAATATTCCAGCAAAAATGCTGCATTCTCTGACTCCTCCACCTGCACACGCGCAACGCACAAAAGGTTAAAGGCATGGGCGAAAACAACTCGTACAGTAGTTGCAGGCTTGAATAATTTAAAACACAAAAACAATCTCGGACCTCATGTTCTTTTATGCTGGATCCAGCATTACCCTCCAACCGTGGCAGAAACTCAAATCGTGCAACCTGGCAGGTTGAACAGTTGCAGAATTAGATATACTGAATATTAGATATACCCTAAGTTCAAAAACAGGCTAAAGGCACATTGTTTTTTCGCTTGGATTGCAGACGAGCTTGTAAGACTTTGCGGCGATCTACAACGAAGTCCTTCTGGGTGCAGATGTCCACGAAGAAGGTCTGCCACAGAATGCTCTAATCGATATTAATCAAAAAAATTAATATATATACCTCGATCGATATAATCAGATCGCACATACAATATATGCCAAACTTAAACCGCATGAAGAGCGCCCACGGAAATCTGAGGTGCTCCTTCAAGAGCTGCAGCTGCTGTTCGGTCGACCGCATCGAATGCATGGCGCAAAAAGTGCAGCGGACAAATCCGCTGAAGCTACCACACCAAGACCCCTTGATGACAGGAGATCAAGCACATGCAGGTATATGAACTCCACCAGGAAGGCCTATTCCTCGAAATTGGACAAATAGATTATGTATTTTAAAGCTTTATTGGCCTCTATGATCTTGTTGAAGGGAACACTTGCCATCCTGGTGGTTTGAAGAACCCTGTTCAATCTTCCAAGCTAGTACTGTGCAGCAGTGGGGGGACCTGAAGTCGCAGCATCAGGCCAGGTGGACTGCATCTCGTCCTCCAGGTCCGCCATCATCCCTCGGTTTAAGACATGATGCATATGTATACGTGTTGTTGGTGCAAGGAATAAGGTTCAAGCTCTTGCGTAGTGCCTTCTTCATCGCTTGGCCCCTGATCAATGGTTTGACCTGAGGTTCAACATAGGTGAACCATTTCGTCGATCTACACACATGCATGGTACATGGTGAGTTTAAGGGCGCAGCTCATGCCAGTATATGGTGAAGCCCCGTCATGGCTGATCGAAAGGGTCGGACGTCTAGACAGCTGGCATGTATGCATATATCTAAAACTTGTACATGGCCAGTGTGAGAGTACTTTGCCATAATATCACAGCATCGTGGTGAGATGCGCTGATGATTTGGGCAGAAATGGCCCACACCATCTCAAGAGCTCTCCAAGAGACCTGGGCAGATATAGAGGCGATCAGGACCAGAGCACAAACCCACTCCAAATACGGTTGACCTATAAGAAACAGAGGTTCGGCAACCTACATTTAAAAAATGTACGACGACTTCCAGGGATACTTTTTCCTACTCTTGTGTGTTTTCTGGTGCACCCGAAGGGACAACCCAAGTGCATCATATGAACAGAGCTCTTTCATTCTTTCCTCCCTTCTCGATGATGATAAACTTGTCTCGTTTAAAAAACGCCCTGCGCTTGGAGTTTTGGGTTTGCTTTGTGGTGCGCAGGTGGCTAGTAATTTTGCGGCACACAAGCCCTCGAAGCCTTGAAATCAGGACATGGACATACATGGACAATGGCCTCCTGGAAATGTATTTCTTCTACAGACAGCTAGCTTTCCACTTCCACTGGAGGAACTATAGAGAAAACCACGACCGCAAAGGCAACGCAACACCGCATTGACGGGCCACTTCTCAGGAATGAGCCTCCAACTCAAGGCCAACTGGACCCTTCAATTTGATCATTGAAAGAGTTCGGTTGACCAGTCAGTCTTTTCATGGTTCGTCAGTGAAGGTGATTAAACCCATGGTGGCTCGAATCCTATCGGGTTGAGAAAGCTTTGAGAATAGGCCACCGACATCACCTTCGGATGACTCGTCCCCGCGGACCGCGGACGGCGCTTTTTTTTTTGTGATCGGCGGAAAGGGGATGGAACAACCCTCATTCTGGGACTTCCATTTGTCATATGAGAGAGTATAAAGACCCTCCCATGTAAGAAATTAGTATTCGCATGGGGTTTTTACACAACCTCAAGTGTCCTTTATTTTTCCCAGAACTTGTTTCCAACATCTCAAGCAATTCATCACATGGAAGCGGAAGAAATGGAGATTCTGGAACCCGGACTCCGCACTCGGCCCAGGACTTATACGACACCTTTGAAACGCCACGGCCACACGTGGAACGCCACATGGAAACCCCAAGAACCGCCCACGCCGGTCTCGCCGATGTCCCGACTCCCTCGGACCGATGAAAACTGCTGCGAGCACGGTGAAGGGTCCAGTAACCGGCAATTAACGGCGCCACAAACGACCAGAGGCCGGTGAAGTGACAGTCTTTCTTTAAAAACGTCTTAGATATGTTTCAAGCAAACAGTCCAGAAGGGCACCGGCCCTGCTGAAAAGAAGGAACACAAAATTCCAGCTGCTCGATTCGATGGGGCAGATGTGAGTTTCCTTTTTTCCTGTGCCCCCACTCTCAAGGTGAAGGCAGACGAAGAAAAAAACCAGGCCCAGCATTCTAACAGTTTACAGCTTATCTAGATCCACTCCATACGGCTGCGAACTCGGTACGGCAAGAGATGATCAAAGAATAACGGCAGACATGGACTCCAAAAGCCATACCGGTTGGTATGTTCAATAGCAGGAGGTCAACAAATGCCTAGCTAGCCCTTGGTTTGTTTTTTTGTCCTGGCATTGTGATGAACATCATGCACCAACCAACACAGCCAGAAACTGAAGGATCATCCTTTGCACAAGGACAACCATGTTTGTTTGTTTTTTGGTCCGCCAAGGGTCACTTCTTTTTTTCAAAGACGTTTGTTTCATCGGTTTGGTCTAGCCCAAATGCCATTGGATCTTTTTGAAGCGTCCGATGTCGCTGTTAGGTATGCCGGCGCCACCCTGATTGACCCCGAGAAACTCTTCGGCGATCTGGTGGCAGGCGAGGTTAAGCGCTTCGTCCAAAGCTTGTCCCGAGTGCGTAGCGAAGGGTTCCCGTTGATCTCTGGGGGTCCATAGGGGTAGAGCTGTGCTGGCGTGACGTTGCTTTCATGTTCGCAGCCTGATGCAACCGTCCGAATGTGATTGATAAGGCTCTGCCATTCGGGGAAGCTTTTGAAGGAGGTTTTGGATGGAAGCCTGAAGTGTCAGATTCATGTGAAATAGCATGGAAACGTCACATGTTGAAGTGTGGAGGATGATTTTGCTGCGCAGGTGCAGCGTTTCGTGAGATCCTCCGTTTCCTTCGGTGTTGCCATTGGGGCCTTCGCTGGCTAGTCCCCTCCAGGTGTTGGATGTCGCCGTGGGCTCAGAAAGTGTCAAGGCCATGACAAGCGTGTGGTGTGGTGGTGATTTTGCTGAAGACATGAAGATGTGATGTAGAAAAACTTCATGGCAGGCACAGTGTGGAAGTCTAATTTTCATGGGAGGCGCAGGGAATCGTAAGGCTGCGATGTTTGGTGGAGGTCAGTGTGTGGCAGTGGGATTGGTGTGTCCGCGGCTACTGTGGTTTTGCGGGCTGTTCCCTTTGATCCTCTGATGAGACTTCCCGCTTCACTTTTTGAGGAAGTGTTGTGCGAAACGCTTGTTTTGGAGACTTGACGGGTGACTTTTGGAGGAAGCCAGGCTAAGGGTGTCACACAAAAGTGCCCCGCAGAGTGTCCCACAAGAGAATCCTGCAAGAGTGTCCAAGAAGAGCATCTCCTACGAATGTCCAACAAAAGTGTCAAACAATGTTTGGCCGTTTGTTATCGAACGCGTGCGCGCATTCAAGCTCGTCGGTTCCATCTAGATTTTTGTGGGTGGGGCCAAAAGAAGGGGTCGTGTTGGGGCGTTGGTAAGTGCACCTACTCAAACAGGAAGCCTGCGAGGGATTCGAGCAGAACCCGAGCAGGAGATTTTAAAGAATTGCCGATGCAGTTCAAGAACCAGATATTTGGATTCCGAAGAGTACCTGGAATGCAGCAAACTTCTTGTTTGTTTTTGGATTGTTCGAAAAACCAAAACAAGACTTAAAACAACTGACCTTGTTTTTCTCGGTTTTCGATCTGTTCCAGATATACCCGCTGCCCAAATAAGCTGCCACTCGTCCGGTTGATTCGCCAGAAGACGGGAACTTCAACAAAGCCGCCTGCCCATCATCCTGATCGGCTGCTGGTCAATGATGAGTGATGGTGATTATCACACAGAAAAACATGTTGAACAAACAAACCCGCAGTTCTATCATGATGGATAATATGCACAGAAAGGTGCTAGCAAGGATGAATTCAACTCAGTG